TTATCAATGAGCAATATTTTGATAGAGTATTTGAAAGACAATTGGTGTCAAATTAATAGTTTCGTATTCGAACATTTGAATAGTTCTATTCAGTTAACTTTACAATAATTCTATTTCAAAGAAAACTCACATTCGAAAGTATGATACAGGTACTTTACTTTTTACATTAAATAATCCATTCAATTTATTTTTTAGCTGGCTTTTTTAAATTACGATGATGTGTAAGATTGTACCTCTGGGGGAGGATTTTGGAAATGACTTATTTTCTGAGCTGGATTATCCAATCCTGAAGCTTTCATTGTCTTCCTAAACAACACCATCAGGACGTATTTCGAGAAGAAGAGGGCTATTAGTATTTTTCCACAACTAATTAATCGATTGTTATATCAGCATAGAATTTGATTGGTTTTTGTTCATAAATATATTTTCATTGTTTGGACATTTATTTGAATTTCTTCTCTTGTGGACTGGTTTTTTATTAACAGAACAAAGGGTTAGTCAAAAATCTGATAGCTCATTTTATTTTGAGGTATATGATGACGATTCTGTGCATCCCGTCCCAGTACGTTTCCTGTTTGAATGTCTTCCTATGGACCTATTAGCTGTGTTCGTTAATAGAACGTCCGAAAAGGTTATCCTAACTTCACTTTCTTCGTTTTTAGATGCAAACGTAATGGCTGGTTGTATTTTGATAAACTGCCTAAGAACCTCATATTGTAATGTACTGTCTTTATAGAGGATGAACATTTCATCCATATATCGACAGTAAAATGTAAATTGTTGAATTAACTGATGAAGGCGTCAGTATAAATCATTCTTTGTCAATAGTTTATCTGGTTAGTGATTTTCTGCTAAAGTTTGCTAAAATCATAGTTCTTCAAAACGAAAAAGCAAATGTCATTTAGACTAAAACCCGGAACTATGTATAAAAATGAAAAAAAAAATGCAATCCATTCTTTAATCTTGGTCAACCTTAGGGACAATTAATCTTAACTATAGAATGACCTGATTTAACTAATATATATACAACTTTTCTTAGTCAAATTTAATTGTTTTTGCTATCTTTATTCACATGTCTTCGTATTATTCTGGTCAGTAATTTCACTATTTCATATAAACTTCACTTTGTTTTTTTTTTGAAGTGCGAATTCCTCTGTCATTTAAAGCAATTAGTCCCTTTGATGGATTTCAATAATGTAATAAGAAGACGAATATTATCAGAACTATGTGATATATTAGCTCAATACATTTCGAACAATCTAATCACACATATACATGTTAAAAACATTTATATATAAAAGTGTAAGAGGGCGTATACTAAGGTTTATTGAAGCCTTAGTCATACGAAAATTCAAACCCCCTTTGTGTATTCAAAAACAGTTTGTTCTCACCTCAAACCTACCCTGGTAATATTGGCTTATTATGCAGAGTGATTAGGTTTCAAATTGTGTTCACATTATTATTATTACTCTTATTATTATCCTTGTCTGTTCTTACCCTCAATTTCTAGTCTAGTTGACCTGTTACTTTTATTTATAAATGTTCTTAACAAGTATATATGTGATTAGTTTGTTCGGAATGTTTTGATCTAATATATCACATAGTTCTGATAATAATCGTCTTCTTTTGACATTATCGAAATTCCTCTGTCATTGTTTTATCAGTCTTTTTATTCTTTCTATTTATTAGTCCATAATTTTTTCATAACAAATCAAATTATTCCGGCCTTTATTAAATGATCTTTCTAATTTATAAATAACACAATTTAATGTCGTAACAGATGCAAACATTCACCTATTTTTTCAACATATAACATTGTCAAATTCATTCATACATACTGTATTTTGATCTTTGTAAAATATTACAATAGTGATAGACTTATAATTGTAGAGCCTAATGATGAAATGATTACAAAAGAAATTGTTTGCTCAGAAAATTCTTTGTTTTTCTGAATATTCTAGGGAGTTTTCTAAACTACTGAGATTAAGATATTTGGAAATTTCCATCTATTAACAAAATGGAAATCTATTTTTAAAAAAAATAAATTTCGTCTTATAAGCCCAATTAATTTGCTTATTGGCTTATTATTATGCGGATTATTACTTAGCACTTCTTTTGAAAAACAAAACACGGTTAACTTTTACTGGTTGAAATCATGAGTCAAGTGATGCTAGACCACCATGGAAAACCTGGAAGCATTGGACGGCCGTTTCGTCCTAGTATGGGACTCCTCAGCTGTGCGCATCCACGATCCCTCCCCCCCGTGAGATTCGAACCCAGGACCTATCAGTCTCGCGCCAGGCGCTTAACCACCTAGACCACTGAGCCGGCATCCAACGGCGTTAATGTTTAACTTCAACCAATCCACAAAGTTGCGCCACCGTACACCATTGTCTTCAGTGAGTTCCTACCTTCACTGGTAACGACTTCTCACTAGAACTCCAGGAGTATTTCCTGAAGTCAGTCACTAGTGAGCAGGTGATTATTATCAGAATGGTTTAACTTTTATTTGCCTTAAATATTATGATTATAATGATGAAATATCATTGTATCATTAGTCGAAGTATTTTGCTAATCATAAATTTGAGTTTATATAGTCTATGAATAATAATATTAGAGAAATGGATGGATTTGTTTCACTGACGTTGCTCCACTGCCTTGCGGATAAAGACCTTTAGGTCAAAGGCTCCGGGTGTGGCCCCCTAAGAAAAACACCTGCTTCGGTTTGGACACCCAGTCAGTATCCCAGCACTCACACAAATAGAATGATTTATGTGGCGCATATCTATTTGGTGCCTCCATGTACCAATGTTTATATGTTTAAATAAATAAATAATTTCACTGATAAGGTAAATAAATTGTTTATTTAAATTGGATGTGATTAATAAAACTTTTATTTGCTTTATCATTTAAAACGTGAACTGAGACAAAGGGACAAACGTTTTGATAAGCTATTAGAGAGAGAGAGAGAAGGTTCCAATGTAAATCAATAAGCTTAAAGTAAAATATTTGAGAGCAATGGAATAAGTTTATCAAAAAAAAGAACTGAGATTATATGATAAATAGCAAAATAAACACACTAAGAATTTAGTAATTGCAAATGATGATATGTAGTTAATTATCAATTACTGTCAGGAATTCATATTTTATATAAAAGTAATCCTATGACATTACTTGAAGTTTGAGATTCTGTATCATTTAGTTCTTAATCTTAAAATGAATACATCGAGAACGACGAACATTTTAAAGTGTGAGTTCACTTCATTTCGTTTGCTTAAATTCCTACAAATTAAATGTTGTACAATATGATTTTGAGTGAACCATACATAACACAACTCTGTTTACTGTTAATATATGGTCGTAAGTGCTTTGTATTATCATATAGATCGAAATGACACAGTAATAGAAAAGGTGATTTCGATCATGATGTAATCAATCACGAGGAACATGTATAAAATGTTACTTGTTTGGTGGACGAACTATAAAAAATTTTGATAGAAATTATGGTAGCAATAGTGATATAATCATAATTAATGGTAACAATAATATTGATAATAATGACAGTTCAAAGTTATGTTATTTTCGAGATGTTAATACTTAGTTTCAAATTATTTTCTGAATAATGATACGTGTAATAAAGTCAAGTATAGTAATATTTGTAAATATTTATTTCTTCCCATTGCTGATATTTGCCACTATTTTACCAATCTCTGTCGGTACATTTACATGAGCATGTGATTACTTTGATATTTCGTGAACATGTAAGTTAGAGTATATTTTTGTGTTAAAGCTAGGAGTGTGATCTAGAACACAAGTTTTATCTTATTTAAGGCTCGTTATTTAGATTTGCTTGCATCCTAATATTGATCTCAACATTGAGATTCAAACTCAGTAACTGTTGCTTCAGAAGACAATAAGTTATTCACCAAACTGCTGACTTACAACAACCACTGACTTGTTCAAATGTATAGATTATTATTGTTAAAGGTTTCATTTTCTTTGCTTCATGATATTCAGAACTACATTTACTTACTTGCTTACTTATGCCTGTTACTCCTCGTGAAGGAGCATAAGCCGCTCACCAGCATTCGCCACCCAACTCTGTCCTAAGCAATCCTTTCCAGCTCCTTCCAGTTGTCATTCATCCTTTTCATATCTGCTTCTATTTCCCGAAGCAATGTGTTCTTTGGCCTTCCTCTTTTCCATCTCCCTTCAGGATTCCAAGTTAGGGCTGGCGTCGTGATGCAGTTTGACGATTTGCGTAATGTATGTCCTATCCATTTCCATCATCTTTTCTTAATTTCTTCCTCAGCTGGAAGCTGGTTTGTTCTCTCCCACAAAAGGCTGGTGCTGATGGTATCCGGCCAATGGATGTTGAGTATCTTGCGTAGACAACCATTTATAAATACTTGTACCTTCTTGATGGTGGTTGTTGTATTTCTCCCAGTTTCAGCTCCATACAGTAGAACTGCCTTGACGTTGGTGAACTACATTTAGTCATTTTAAAATAAAATTAAAAAGTGATAAATTTCAACTTAGATAAAGTAAACAATGATGTTATTTTGTTTAAATGAAACGTGGTGAAAAGGTTTACAATATTTGTAATAGGTATAGAATAAAAAATAAATAAACAGTAGTTAAGAAGGGAAAAAATACTAAAATCCATACCAAGTAATACATTCACTTATTATTACCATCAATATGCTATATATATATATATATAATATATATATATATATATATATATATATATATATATATATATATATATATATATATATATATATAAATTACAAGGGATTTGCTAACGCAATTGTATTGATTAGACTATACTTAATCGATCCAAAAACATTTGAAATATATATGTATATATATATATATATATATATATCATATTTGAATACAGTAGTCTCTATGTACACAATATGTGTAAAATCATTTATTACTACTTATTATACTACTTAAATTTATTTAATTCAATAAATATTTCAAATTCATATATGTTATCAAAATTAAATTTATTAACATTAGATCGTTCAATCAATAAAATCAATATATTATTTTCACATTTTATTCCATTCAATGATATGATTCATATAAAATCACGTAGACAATATAATGGTATTATAGAAACCAATTTAATAAAAAATTTACATCATTTATATATTGGTCATCAAATTTATATTAATTTAACTAATATAATAGATTATTATTATTATAATTATGAATTATCAAAGTTAATATTGAATAGATCTATAACAATGAATGATTTAATACAATTTAATGAAAGAATATTTCTTGATGTATTCAAATTAATTATCAATGAAAATACAATTAACTATACAAATTATTTACATTCTATTCATAGAATTAATGATATAGATTGGAATGATGATAGAAATTTTATTAAAAAAGCTTATATGAAATCATTAATACCAAAGAGATATATACCTGGTCAATCATGGTATATTTTATTAATGCATTCATGGAGATTATATTTTTTATTCATAATTCATAGTTCTAATTTATGGTTACGTTATAAATTAGAAAATATAATATATCAAAGTGATTTACCTAAAACAATTGATGAATGGAGTGTTATATTTATATATTTATTATGTTCAATATATCATTCTAAACAATTGAATAGAGATTATCAATTACCATATGGTTTTTGCCCAAATCCATGTTTAATTAATCCATGCCTTGAAGTGGTTAATACAATGTCAAGTAAATGTATAAGAACTGGATATTTTGAAAATAGTTACAAATGTGAATGTCGTAATGGTTATCAATGGAAACAAGTTAAAGGATATAAAGGTAATAACAAAATATTTGTTTTGTTTAAATTATTTTATATAAATAATGGTGATAATAGAAATGGATAGAGCATTATGTATAGTACAATAACAGTATCGATTGATCTTTGATATTTGACCGGGTTTCTACATGCATTAATCAGTATTGTAATTGTTTGTTGTATAACTATGGTATAAATCGATATTTGTAATTTAAGATATTTCACAACGAAGTAAGTTCTTTTATCTTAATTCACATCAAGCGGGATTAGAAATAAAAGAATGGTCGATTAGTTTCGGTCTCTTTTTATAGGTTTTTTTTATTTGTACACGAGTGTCAGTCGGTCCTATATAGCAAAGAACCTGGCACATATGTGCATCATTTCAAGTCTCCACATCACATAAGGAATGGTGACGATAAGTCCTAGAGAAGTAGAAGTGTTAATAGTATCAATGGTAGTAAAAGAAATTAGCTGCAGGAGGTATGATTTGAGGAGAAAATATGAATTCATGGAGTAGAAATGAATTATGAGATCAATCAGGATCTTAAGGATTAGAGGAAGGCAAAGAGTGAATAAATCTGCACCATTCCAAAAGATTCTTAGTCATTTCACCCAAATTCTTTAACTAATAGCCAGAAAAATAGTACAGACCCCAGCCAAACCGTTTGTACCTACAGAGACTGGTGCTACGTTTTGGTTTGATCGCCTTTTACTTTATTCTAACCTACTCCTACACCAGCAAACATAGGCCAACCAGGTAGCTGAAGGATGGGTACGCGTAATACATGTCCCAACCACATCGATCGATGAACATGTATTACCTCATAAATCGATTTTTTCAAACTTATTTAGAGCTTTTGTTGAATCTCGGCATTGCCTACTCGGTGGTCCAAAAATACACGAGCAATGTTTCGAAGATATCTGTGATCGAGTACTAGTAACCTACGAACATCCCCTATTCATAATGACCATGTTTCACAGCCATAAAGTTGAATGGAATGAGCTACTACACAGCATACTCGTTCTTTCGTTGGTAGCCAGATACCTTATCTACATCACAAGTGGTGAAACTTGGCTAAGGTTGACCGATCTTCCTGAATCTGTGCCGAGATTTCGCCAGACACCAACTCATCAGGGTTGATGGAACCTTTATGACAAGCGAAGTAGTTGATGCACTCAGTTACATCACTTCCTATCATTATTTCAGTAGTTGACACAGACCGATCGTGAAGCCACATTTCGCAATTAGAGAAACAAAAACGCGTTTCAAATATGCTTAAATTGTTGCTCAAGGAGGTTAAAGGACTGTGTTTCATCAGCGTCTTCACCATTTCATCTGAGTGTTCTATCAACAAGTAGACTTTCTGGTAGGAGATCAACTCCAGAATGAGAATGTTATATTTGAATGTTTATTACAAAGTTGATTAATAATGGAGAAAGAAAATGACTCTGTCAAACACAATTGAAGTTATCAATACCAATGAAAGTTCCTCATAAGCTCTGACTCGACCATTAGTATTCGAGTAGAGAACATGTACGAGATTAATATACTTCTTTGTTATGCCTGTGGTGGATCCCAGCAAAAGAGCTTATTCAAGATATATCAATACGCAGGGTTATTAATAATATACCAAAAGAGTTAACAGTAAAAACCCTAAGTGTCTGTCTATGAGTAAAACCAAAAGTCAACAAATTACAGTTAGAATACAAATGGTATATTAGACAACAAGATAATAACAGTTGTTATGAAATGAATGTTACTTGCAAGCCGCTCTCTGAGATAACAACTACAAATGAGTTCACTTGATTAACGAAGATTCCTCTGCACGAGATGGCACCAACGGCGTAATGAGAAAGATTGGATCCAATAGTATTATATAATAATAATCCGGGCCAAAAATCCAACGTAGTGTAGGAAGGCCTAAAAGGACGTTATAACACTATTATAGCCTTCAGTCAAAGGCCGTGGCCAATAAAGCAGAAGAACAGACGGCGGAGATAGTACTTCATATTTCAACCAACGCGGTATCCAAATAATTATAATCGTTTTTAAACAAGTGATACAGAAAAACGACAGATATTGAATAAAAATGTGGTTACACATAAAGTGTGACAAATTAGAGAAAAAGTGCGGTTTTTATTTTGTCGTTACAAAAATCACTGAATATACGTAACCATATAACTCCCCCCCTAGGGCATGAGTCAGTGGAAATATGCCCGACGTAGAACTCTAAATACTTTGGAGGAAAGAAAATTACACAACGAAAAGGATAAACAAGTGTTATCAGAAAAAAATTCATATGTGTTTATATATTTACGAACGAAAACGTTTTTCTTGTGGTAAAGAAAGAAATTGTATTTCTTATTTCAGTGTATATAAAAGGCTTAACAACAATAACAGAATGTATAATAATAAGTGTTATTAATAATAACGGTAATTAAATTGATAGTTCACCGAAAAATGTAGATACATGTATATATCGTATAAACAATTAGTGATAAACTGAACGAATCCAACGAAGTTGAATATCGTTACACAATTAATAATAAACATCATATGAAACGCATACACATGTAGAGAAAATATAATGAATTTATCAATGTTAGTAGTACATACGAAATGTGTTTTTTTTTTCAGATTGCTTGCAAAAAAATGTTATTAGTAACTCTGCTAATATAGATATTTACTCTCCCTACAGAAAATGACAGAAGGAAGATTAAGTGATGAATTCAACATAACGTTTGGGAAAATGTACTTGTCTTCCTGTACGAGTTGTTTTCACAGTAGGTAAAGTGGTGGAACTAGGAGTTAAATTTGTGGGAGCTGTAACTTTAGCATCATCCATTTTAAGAGGTGTTGATTTCACAGGAGTAGGTGAAGAATTAGCTGGAAACACAGGAAGCTGCGTTGTGCAACTGCTTCTGTCTTTAGACGGCTTTCGATTGCGATGTGTTTTAGACTACAAAAGCAGGTTTTATCCTGTCGATTGAAACGGTCTCTTTTTTTCCATTCTTCCTGATTGTGAAATATTTTGTTTGCCTCTCCAGTACTTCATACGGTCCTTCATAAGGGTGTTGTAAAGGACGTCTTACGGAGTCAACACGAACAAATACAAATTTACATGTATCTAGATGCTTGCTAATTTGCTCTTTGAAGACAACTGGTCAAGGTGCAACAGGCTTAATGTTATTCATATAGCTCATTAGTCTTTCGCAAAAAGAAGCGGGGTCCGCACATAGGGATTTTTCGTTATGCATTACTAGTTGACCAGGTAAGGTTAAATTAGCTACATATACGAGCTGTGCAGGTGTGCATTGGAGGTCTTCCTTGATTGTAGAACGTATGCTCAGTAAAATCAGAGGTAGGGATTCACTCCATCTGGTAACATCAGGTTGTACCATCAGTGAGCTTTTCAGCTGTCTGTGGAATCGTTCCACTAGTCCATTTGCTGCTGGATGGTATGCTGTTGTAGTGATGTGATGGATTCCCAAAATGCGTGTAAATTCATTGAACAGGTGAGATTGGAACTGTGAACCTCTGTCAGAAGTAACTGTAGAAGGTACACCAAAATTAAAAATCCATCTGTCGAGGAATACGGCATTTTCCGCGGAGATGTCTTTTATCGGATATGCAATTGGCCATTTGTTTAAAATGGTCCAGTGCAGTAAAAATGTAAGTAAATCCGTTAGATGGGGCTAAATGACCAACTAAATCAACATGAATATGTTGAAAACGATGGTGGGGTAGACTGAATTTTGATGGTGTTGTAATTGTATGTCTGTGAATTTCGCTGCGCTGGCATTGTACACAATTTCTGGTCCATTTTTTAATATTTGCGTTCATCTTTGGCCAAACAAATCTTTCGGCAATCAGTTTCACAGTAGTGCGAATTCCTGGATGAGATAGTGAGTGAAGACAATCAAAACTCTTTTTCTGTACACTATTGGCACAAATGGTCTGTGTGTTCCAGTCGAAGTATCACAAATTATAGTAGTCAGAATGTGGTATAGGAATACTTTTAAAGACCAGACTCGAACTTTTCTTACAAGCAGCAAGATCAGAATAATCTATCTGTAAACGTGCTATGTCTAATAAATTGATTCCTTTGGTGAAGGAAATTGCATCGACGTTGAGACGTAATAGAGTATCCGCAACAAAATTTGACTCACTTTTTGTAAACTGCATGTTGGTCGAAAATTGAGAAATATAGTCTAGTTGTCGCATTTCTCTAGGGGAATAACGATAACTTTTAGCGTTAAAGGCATAAGTTAAAGGTTTGTGATCAGTGAGTATCACGAAGTCTCTGCCTTGCAGTAAGTGTTTAAAATGTTTAACAGCTAGGTAAATAGCCAATAATTCTCTACCAAAAGTACTATATCGAGTTTGGCATGGTTCTAGCTTCTTTGAAAAGAAAGCAAGTGGTTTGACCTCATTATTTACTCGCTGTTGTAGTAACGCACCTACTGCTGCCTGGGATGCATCTGTACACAGATTTAGTGTTGCTTCCGGATCAGGGTTTAAGTAGGTTAGCATGGTAGTAGAAGCAATTGCTGTTTTAGCCGCAGAAAAAGCATCTTTCGCTTCGAGGGTAATGCGAACTTTTTGACTTTGCCTTTTAACACCTCCGTCAAAGGTTGTAGAATTGCTGAGCAATGCGGAATAAAGCGACGATAAAAACTGATCATCCCCAAGAAACGTTGAAGCCTATTCCATGAATCTGGCCCTGGAAAATTTTTGATGGATGCTATTTTTGTATCTAACGGTTTGATTCCATGTTTATCAATCGAGTGACCTAAAAACTCCAAACTCTCGACTCCAAAAGTGCATTTGGATGGATTAATAACTATACCGTATCTCTGAAATCTTTCGAATAATTGATGTAGGTGATCGATGTGTTCATTGAACGAACTGCTAGCTATTAATACATCATCGATATACACGAAAACAAAATCTAGGCCTTTAGTGACCTCATCCATAAATCGTCGAAAGGTCTGTGCAGCGTTCTTTAATCCAAATGGCATTCTCAGGAATTCAAACAAACCAAATGGAGTAATAATGGCTGTTTTTTCTATATCCTCGGATGCTACTGGGATCTGATGGATAACATTTAATGACTGAGTATTTGTGCTTAAATTATAAAAATTTTTTATAAGTTCTCCAAATCGGCAGCTAATGTTTCTATAAAACTTCGTTATAATGGGAATATTTAATTTTCTCGGTACACTTTCATTATATGATTGTAAGTAGCTGACTGATGTGCTTATTTTCGAGCTCAGAAATTAGAAGTCATAAACTCATTCAAGAGAGGAATGATTAATCTATTTCTTTGATCTGCATTTGTATGTTAATGAATCAATGTATATTAGAAATTAATACCCGGTTAACAAGCTTTTATACTTAGCTGATGCCTAAGGGTTAGTGATTTACTCAAACAGAGTACCAGCTTTTGAAACTACAGAGAAATTTCATTGAGAGGATTACTTCATCATTTCATAAGTAATAATCCATTAGGTTTATATATTTATGTAAATTATATAAACTATTATTGAAACTCACGCTTATAATAAGTTCTCCTTATGAATACAACCTCTACTTGGATTATAACATATCCTTCATATACATGTAAATTACTTGTTAAGTTGTTCATTGAAAATACTGATTTGATAGAAAGATTAAAGAGTACCATCTCAGTGGTTTGAAGGTTAAACACTTGCCACGGAGCCTTAAAGTGCTGAATTCAACTCTTGAGGATCCGAGGGTAGTGGGTGAGCACTTCCACGATAAAAGATCTTTTCACTCCTTCCTTATTTTTAATGGTTATCTGACTAGTCAATTATTAATTTAAAACTATGAAATTTGTTAATCTTCACAACCCTTTTTGTCAATAAAATGTAAACTTTCATCTTTGATTGAGTTAACTTTGTATTTGATCATAGATTTTCCTGTCAAATATATACCTAATGAAAAACATTTTTTATTAGATGTAACTAACTTTTCTCATATGCTTTCAAAGAGGAAATAAGTATAAATTTAATATTCTTAGGATATTATTAAGAAAATATTTTCTGATATCTTTTAATATCATATATCTAGAAATATGACATACCTTAATTTTATTTGAGAGTTAAAAGTATTTCCAACAGTTGAAATCATGAGTCAATTGAATCTAGACCACCATGGAAAACCTGGAAGCACTGGATAACCGTTTCGTCCTATTGTGGAACTCCTCAGCAGTGCGCATCCACGACCTTGCCTCGTGGATTTGAACCAAGGACCTATCAGTCTCGCGCCTGGCTTCAAGAGGTATATCCTGGAGTTCTAGTGAGAGTTCAACCGGGTCAGTTGTGGGATAGTAACTCACTGATGACAATGGTGGATGTGCCGCTCAATTTCGTGGATTGGTTGAAGTTAGACATTAACACCGTTGGATGTCGGATGGCTAAGAGGTCTAGTTGGTTAAGCGCCTGGAGCGAGACTGATAGGTACTGGGTTTGAGTCCCGCGAGACGGAGTTGTGGGTGCGCATCACTGAGGAGTCCCACAATAAGACGAAACGGCCGTCCAGTGCTTCTACGTTTCTAATTGTGGTCTAGCTTCAATCGATTCATGATCTCAACTGTTGAAATTACTACAATCTCCACAAAACCCGTTCTGATACGAGTTAAAAGTATGTCGACTAACATTTTTTGTTGTTGAAATATTAGTGTCATACTCGTCAAAGCTGAACTAAACATATACTGAAAACAAAACAAAAAATGGAATATTGTTTCATAATTAGTTCTCCTTACGATATCAACAAGATATGATATTTTGGTGAGAATATTCTTTTTAAAAAAGTTGAAAGTCTTATCTAAGTTATTTTACAAGCACAGTATGTCAGATTTTTAATCTGATGAAATATCTTGTTTTTATGATTAGAAAACTTTTTTTTAGTCATAAATATCTTTTAGAAAATAATTTAGAAGGTCTGTGGAATTTGTATATCAAGGACCATTTATATGCACTCCTTGTTTTTGAATATAAACTATACAGAAAAAACCCAACTATGTTTCATAAAATAAACGACATATTTCATAAATATGTAAATATATATAATAAAATGCTTGTAATAAATACACTACACTTTATACTGATTGATTACATTCAACCTTATGAGAGTGAAGCTACTGAAATATAGGAGGAATGTAATTTACAGTATTATTGAGAAGTGGGGGATAGGATAAATGTCTATGAATTTGTAACACATCTACTTCTTAATGTTCAATATGTGGGTAATATCCAGCATTTTTTCGTTCATTTAATCAATGGATACAATTTATAAGAACTTAGTTTTTCAGTGCCGATTTCATTTCAATCTCTAACTTTCATTTGATTTGTTTTTTTTAGACATTCAAGTTTCTTCATTCGTGGTAAAATGTCAATCCTGTTTGAAAAAGTTAGAAAACATTTTTTTTTCATTTGTACAACTGTTTTAAAAGGTAATTTACTGATATTTCTTGGCAGCAAAAACAAAGATTTCAATAGAATATCATGACTTCGTCTTGTTCAGATCAAATCTCTGTATTTACTCTCTTCAAGAAATTTTTCATTAATTTTTCTTTTAATCTTTAACACTAATAATTTTTTCGTAAATCTTATAAGCTAAGCGATTAAACATAGTTTTTCATGTGTTTAGGGTATTGCGAAGCGATCGATCTATGTGACAAATATTGTAACAAAGTTGGAACCAGGAAATGTGATATTGTGCAAGACAGATATTTCTGTGTTTGTCGCGTAAGTTACTGCTATTATTAACTGAACACATAAATATTGGTACAAATGGGCACTAAAATATAAATGCGCCACATAATAAAAATGAGATTGTGAAGTGATAGAGAAAGGATAGTGAGTATAATTTAAAAAAAGGAACAAAAATGAACGGAAATAAGTGTATGGGAGTGGAATAATAATAAAATGATTATGGTGATAAGTGGAGAATCAGTTCAATTAAAAATACAACCAGGAAAGATTCTTTTAGTTAAGGAAGTTACTCTCACTTGTATGAAGAAAGAAAAAGAAAAGTACAGCAGGATCTCCACTGGCTTCTATCCCGAGCCATATCTGAAATCTAGGTCATCTATTTCTAAAGAAAAATCCCTACTATTTAATGGTTATTAGATTTATTAAAACGTTAAAGTGAAATTGAGACAATGTATTCATATGTAATGTACATTTAATATAACAGCAATATCATTACTCTGTAGTTTTATAGGCAGTTGCATTTTTCGTAAATTTGTTTGCTTGTATCATATGAAGCTTCTCTTTAAAGTCGATGATGATTACTACAAAATAGTGGATTATATTAACTTTTCATTTTATTGCTTGAAAGGAAAGAAGTGAACATTTATAACTCTCCAAAATCGTAAGTGTTTGAGAGAATGCAACTGTGATATCGAATAGTTAAAAGTAATTATCAGGAAGCCCTGTATAAATACGTTCCCTGTTAAATGGAATTCTTCACCAAGGCGTGTCGTGGGTCTCAATATATTTGCTCGTGAATATTATGGTAGATTATAAAGTTATTTCTCGATGAACAAGATATACAATATCATTTTGATGATTAGATTGTTTCACAACTTCCTATTAACGATCAAAATTATATCAAATTTATGTACGGCACTTTGACCTACTTATATAAGCATTCAGTAGTTCATTTTATTTTTAAAAATCGTATTTGCTTGTTGTGAACAACACAGGAAATAATAACTAAATTCAGATCACTATGATTTATTGTGAGATATTCACTATAAATTATGTGTATTAGAAGAAACACATGAAATTAAAGCTTGTGAATGATAAAATTAGCTGCAAAATCATACTTTCAAAGTATCTTGTAGAGGTTCTCGTTATTCGTAGAAAAGATAAAAAGCATACATATTTAAATAAATCGCTTTATGCAAAAAAATATGAAAACAATTTTTTAAATTATTTAAGATTTGAATAGTTAAATTTTGGAACAAATGGCTAAGAGTACACTTTGTGTGAATGAGTAGTGTTATCCCATCTAATCAATCATTTACTTGTAGACCTCCACTATTAACTGTGATGAATCGATAACTGAACACTATATGTTGTAAAATTTTATGTATTATTCTCTAGCTGAAAATGATGTCTAAAAACAGGATAACTTCCATTTTCATTTTAGCGGACATAGATTTAAAGTTTATGTTTCATGTGATTGTGATTTATTGACAATATTTTTGTTGAAAAACAACAAATTAATTCACCGTCTAAGAAGGGTCGATATTGATTATGTTGATAGAAACTAGGATATATATATATATATATATACTTACTTACTTACGCCTGTTGCTCCTAATGGAGCATAGGCTGCCGACCAGCATTCTCCAACCCACTCTGTCCTGGGCCTTCTTTTCTAGTTCCATCCAATTCTTGTTCATTTCTCTCACGTCTATTTCCATTTCCCGGCGTAATGTGTTCTTTGGTCTTCCTCTTTTCCTTTGACCTTCAGGATTCTATGTAAGGGCTTGTCTTGTGACGCAGTTGGGTGCTTTACTCAATGTGTGTCCTATCCACTTCCGGCGTTTCTTTCTGATTTCTTCCTCCGCTGGGATCTGGTTTGTTCTCTCCCACAGTTGGTTGTTGCTAATAGTGTCCCGCCAACTGATCCGAAGTATATATATATATATATATATATATATATATATATATATATATATATATATATATATATATATATATATATATATATATTAGTCAGTAGTTTGGTAACTGTCCCCTATTTCAAAATCAGGCATAAATTCAATTAAATTCCCTTTATCATTTACATTTCCATACAGTCCATTATATTTTGACTTTGTTTACTTAGGGATTTTATATGATCAGTAGTACGGTAAATAGATTTTCTTATATTCATTACAATAATGAAAAAGAATGGGATATGCAGTTAGCTTGAACATTAAGTTATATTGTAAAATAAAATAGGAGAGAATCACGTTTTATAAAAAAGTACATTAGTAAATATGATTACATTAAGGAACCACAACTAAATCACATGAGTATAACCTTTCGTACTAATTATCTATTCTTTAGAGCCTACAAATATATTAACTTGGATGATATGATAAAATGTGATGTAAATTCAGAATTTTTTTCACAAATTAACATCATGCGAAACACTCATGGAATATGTAAACTATTGAATATCTATTTCATCCCCTGTTTAGAGAGCACTTAATGTATTATTTGGGATTGAAGAAACGATGTCTAAAACTTATGGCCTCCATTTTATTTTTTCCAGCGCTCATGTTCCAATTCAGCAATTTTCACTTTCAGATTTTATTCCAGCACCATTATAACGCAACTAATGTGGATGATTATTTTTACATATCCGTATAACTCATGACCCATTTGATACTATTATTCACTCTCTCTCTCGCTGAAAATTCAGGTATTCATTCTGAAGAACTGTTACTAAACACTATACTCTTTATACAAAGTTTCAGTATGGGTGAGCTTTAAGAGTACGAAAAAGCTAAAATTTCACAAATGTTGCCAGGTTTCTATGAATGAGTGAGTTTGTTTCGATCAAATAAACCTGTGTTGACAAGGTATCCAAGTAATTAGCTTCTTACAGATCTACTGATGCCTATTTTCAAACTTGCAGGATAATTTACTCAAACTCTCTTGGATAGCACACCTATTTAACAACCGAAATACCCAATTCTACAGTAGAGGGTGAACTAATCAATGTATACTGAAGCTCCTAGATGCGAAATCTAAGTTATTGTTAAGCTTAGGTAAAATACAAAACACCGATCTCAAAGTTTATACGAAGAAAGTCCTCTTGAGGAGATCTGGAATTCTTTTCTTTAAGTTGTCCTCAGTTATGTTACTCTAGAAATCGAAGTTCAGGTAAAGTTTTCTCTTTGTCGTTGAGGTTGGTTTAAAACTTATATTCTTACCAATGAATTTTGGCGGATATTCACTTGCAGTCAGCATTTTTCTCAGGAGAGTTAACTCATCACTGATAGCATCACAGGGAAAAATTTCCTCACATTCGGGTTATTTAAGATATAAAATCTTTCTCCCTACGAACAGCGACTCAAGTATAGAAGCTTGGGATCTGTTAACTACATGAAGGTAGATAGATCTTAGGAGTCTATCAGGTTTGTCATTTTAACAACAAGGAAGATGGCGTTTAGTCTGTTTCCACTATTAGAGTACGTTTTACTGTAAGGTGGGCATTGTTGAAAATCTGCAGACTTTGATTCATATTGCACTTTTTATCATCCATGTAAAATTTATCATCTCCATTGTTTGCAATTAGTATAACGGTTGGTCTAATCATAAGCGTAACATCTCCAATGATGTTGAATAGTGATAATAAATGAACTACTGAACTCACATTCACAATACCATATACATTGTCTCGTTAAAAACTTGATTTTTGATTCAGCACTTAACTTCCCATCAATTATTTTGTATTTTTATTAAAAAACTCATATCCTAGAATTTTAAAATGTTTTCTTTTCTAGCCTACTCATATGGGTTTAAACTGCGACTACCAACGTGATCCATGTGTGGAACTAGCTTCTAATGTTCATATGGGAGGAAATATGGCATGTAACGTTGCAAATGGTGGTATATGCAGAGGAACTTTAGGAACAAACACCTATCATTGCCAGTTAGTTCAATCATATTCATGGGTTTTTATTTATTTATGTAAGGATCAGTTTTACTGTTGACTGTGCCAGACAATTCAATGATGCGTAATCTAACTAAAAACTTACAGTTTTACAGAATAAATAAAAAGACAACCAAAGTCAAACTGAAAGATTGTGGATATGTGGCAAAGAATGTAATTTTACGACTGAGTGGACTAAAATTACTACTAAATTATGACGGTTTTTTACAGCTATATTTCGTCATGAATTAAACAATGTTGTAGTTCACAACACAGTGTAACAAATTTTTGGCAAAAATGGTACATGTAACTTCCGGAAATGAATCCTTTAATGGGGATTCATGATCGTTGATAGCCTTCTTGGTCCTAACGGATTTAAATATCTGAAGACTTTCAGTCAAATATTCTGTTCACTTCCCAGCACACTATTCTTATGACGTTTCTATGGTCCTGTAGAAAGCCAACCTAGTAGCTTGATGTTCGTCTACGATTATATACAGTTACTTCCGACCATCATTGTCTTTTTCTTTGTTTATATTACGGGTACAATGTTTGGAAGAGCATGGTATCAGCAACGTTTAATCTTTCTGTACCAAGTTATTTCAAAAATATGATTATGTTATTTTAAGGATTATCAGTAGATGTATATGATTGATTTATTGCCATATGCACGAGGAAATATATATTAATGGGCTTTTAAACAGTTAGTACTACCGAATGAGATATTTCCATATGAAAACCAAAGTTTTTAGTAAGATAATTTGTTATTCGAGCATCCCCGGTTTTTTATTGTGATTTTTTTCTAATTTTTTAATCGAAGAATAAAATCAGATACCGCTACGACAGGAAAAAATGAGGAGTCATTGGTCGTATCATGACCTTGACCTCGATCCTTGATGAACCTCTTATTATATGTTGATTGATTTATAGCCATACTGAACGCTAAATTTCTGTCAAACTATTCGTTCTAATATCGATGAATATTCGTATAAGCCATACTAATTTGTTTGAGTATTATGTACCTATGAGGCCACTCTAATTCTCAATTTATGTATTCCGTCCGTGTTTATAATTTTAATAACCAATGGGTTGGGATTCAGTGGACAGTCCTATGAGTGGATTATCAGATCACCTTTAATCATCAAATCAGTTGTTTCTTGAAGTTAGTTTCTCCGATTCCACAGAAAGTTAGTTAGGTCTTGAAGCGATACCAGTTTCAGTGTTTATTCAAAGTCCCTTGACTAGTTGTTGATTATTTCATAAATTTCATATAACTATTGTGATTGATTCGAAAAAAATTTACGTTTATGCATTAATCATAATGCAATAATTTTATTTATATGCATCATTTTAAAACAGTATAGCCAGCTATAAGAAATGCAGAACCTGGCAGATTTGCACATCACCTCAAGTTCCTATAACACTAGATGAATAAACTTAGGAAAAAATGTCATAAAGTAACTCTAAAAGTTGACAGAGTCGATGTATCTGCGACATTATGGTTTGAAAAAAACATAAGTCCTTGATAAAAAATTTCAGAAAAGCAAAAATTTCCATTTCGAGAAAGACAAATAGAGGGAACTATATCTTTCCAACTATTTTATCATTATAGCTCTATACTAATATATATTTAACTGTAACAGTAAAATGTATACCACTCAGATGATGGTGCATCATATAATATTAAAAAGTTCCTTGTTGAGTTAACTATGATGTCGGGGTAGAGTTGGTTTTTTCCAGGCTTAATTGTTTATGGACGAAATTTTCGAAGTGAGTGTAAGCCAACATTATTAATACATTGTTCTTTGAAATACTCAGAACCTGAACAATCGCAATTGAGTACATTAAGTTGTTTCATACTACATTGAATTGCTTATATGATGAATTTATATTCATACACACTAAAGTACTAAGTCATAACTGTTTTTCCAGGTGTCCAGGATCATTTACCAGTGATCCATCTTATCCTTTCCCAAATTGTTTACAAATTAAAGATCGATGTGCCAGTACAATATGCATTCATGGTGATTGTGTTAGTTCAAAAGATGGACAAGTAAGAAAATAAAAACCTTATTTATTATTCATGGATTATTTGCTTAATTATTTGGTTATTATGCTTAAAAGTAACATAGTTGGGTAGGCGAAATAATATATATATATATATATATATATATATGGGTCAGTTAGCAACTGACACTTGTGATAATAAGTATCTTAGATAAAACTATTATGTCACATAAATCTATATGGAAAACGGTATGCTACACTCACTTGTTGTTAAATAACATGTATGTTTTTACCATCTGGAAGTTTGTAGTTTAGAAAATATTTGACAGATATTTTTGATGAAATGTTAAATTATTTTCCTCTCACGATACTTTAACTGCTCGTATTCAGATTACCAAACGAGTAGGTATGATGGAAAATAATTCTCCATTCATGTGATTGGATCAGTATTATGATCATAAGTGATAATATAGATTAAAGGAAACCTTCAATGTTATAAACCTTACTCTCGAGTAATTTTACCATTCTCCTATGTATCAAAGAATATTCATTTTCAGAATGGGTTTTGTGGAGATTTTTAGCAATTTCACAGGTTGAAATCATGAGTCAATTATTATATATAGCCATTAACACCATTGGATGCCGGCTCAGTGGTCTAGTGGTTAAGTGCTCGCGCACGAGACCAGTAGGCCCTGGGTTCGAATACTGCGGGATCGTGGATGCGCACTGCTGAGGAGTCCCGTACTAGAACGAAACGGCCGTCCAGTGCTCCCAGGTTTTACATGGTGGTCTAGCTTCAATTAATTCATGATTTCAACCTGTGGAATATTCATTTCTTATCACTTATCCTTCGAATGAGTGCACTCGTTAAAGAATAATAGGTTTCGATTGAATGTTTAGTATTCAATTTGTGAATTTAAATCTTAAATAAAATGGGTCATTTGTTTTAGCCCATTTCAAACTACTTAAGTAGTTTCATCCCAGTCGTGTTCACTGACTTATTGAATACAATACTTTGGATTCATGTGTATGTGTTGGTATTGAGTTGTATTCATTGAACTGTATGCTTCAGCAACTGTAAATGTAAACGTATATTGACAATAAATAATAGACAAATAAAACAGAACATTCGATTGTATTACATTTTGTCTTCTCAAAACCGGATCCGATAAATTAAGTATATAAATCAAAAAAGAATTAATCACAGTTACTTCAATAATTCTCTAAGTGATCTATAACATTTGTTTAGAAAGTTTATTGGAGCTTCGATCGGGAATGACAGCGTGAAATTAGTCCATATGTATAGGGAATTATTTGACATCTTCCGAAACTTGACCACTATGGATACCAATTCCAATCGGCTGGAGATGACTTTACATGCTGTTCATCAATTTCAAAAAGGCAACTTCAAATAAATTCTATTTGTGGTTGATTCTGGTTAATTTTTTGAGAATTATTGAATTTACTAACAATTTATCACAACAAAATTTAGTTGACTTAAGTAAATGAAAATTACAAATATTTATTTTTTGTATTATTACTCAATTCCAGGAAAGTTATTGTGTTTGTCCTGAAGGAACATATGGAAAATATTGTGAATTAACACGTGGACAATGGGGTCAATGGTCACCATGGTCTGAATGTTCACCAAATTGTGGACTTTATAATCACCGAAGGCGTATACGTACACGTGACTGTTTAGGTGAGGCATGTAGCGGTGGTTTAGGTTATTTACATATGGAATTCTGCGATACAAAACCTTGTTCAGATGAAAAACTGATGTTAAATAGAATAAATTCGTCAGAAGAAATCCAAAAATTGAAAATGTTACAAGTACAAGGAACACATTATGTAGAAATATCAGGTGAGATTGCTAAATACCTCTTATTAATAACTTGTATCTTTTCTGTAACTACAGTGACAGCTATGATAATAGTTGTATACTGTTTATAAAATTTTAATAATGACACAGCTTACTTAAGATACATAATTCATGTTGAATATAAACTATTATTGTGTTTATTTTATTAAGAAATACTGATTGATGAAGAATATTTACCTCTGAGAACTGTAGATGATCGAGGTGGAGGAAAATTAGTCATATGAATAAACTGATAAATAAGTTTTTTATGAAGGAGTATATAATAATATCAGGACTGAAATGTTTGGAAAATATAAAGAACTAATGCATTTGTGCTAATATCAACGACTTCGAGCAACGTCATGTAAGCCTTCCAACAAGAGGGTATAATAGTCATGAGAACGTTAACAGGGAAATCTACACATGACATAAATTAGACGAATAATCAAAGATTTTATGAAAAAGCAACGTCTTGGTTTGGCTGCATTTAGTCTCATCCTAACCTGCCTTCTATTGAGGGTGGCATTAATTTTCTCTGAGACATTCTTGGTTGGCCTATTATATTAATACTCAAATCGGCTAATATGTCCAACGTCATAGGGGAGTTTCTGGTGATCTTTCTTACACATCCTCTTTTGGCATTTTTTAAATGGTTAGCGTACCATCTCTATATCATACTCCCCACTTTGACTTCGTAAATAACATGTCCTCACCTGACTGCAATAATCTCCGGTATCTATGTTGGGTTTGGACTATGTATATCACATATCATCGCTGGTTGTCCAATTGTGAATTTTCTAGGTAATGCTCTGCACAATTTACCTTATCGATCCGCTATTTTTCTGTTCAGCTTAGAAATAGTCTTAAAGATCATCTCGAGATATTCTAATCTTTCTTCCAAACGTGACTTCCATTAAAGAAACTTAATCATTAACTGAATGATTGGATATTGAAAGTTGAGTGAAAACGTTTGCAGTACTTCTTCGACTCTTCCTTCCTCAAGCACTTTGATAAGTGCTCTTTTAAATGTACCCGCGAATTTTCGAACCTGACCATTTGATTGAGAATGTTTAAGGAGAGTTCTGACATGTTTATCTGTATTTAACAAATCAAGTTTGGAAAATTCTGATTATCAAAACCGAGGTTCACTTTCCTCACATCAACACTTTAGGAAAGCCAAAGCAACTAAATATTTGCTGTAATTTATCGAACTTAAAGTTTGTTGAAATAGACTCGACACAATGAGTTTAAGGTCACTACGTAAACGCGCCAACGGCCACAGAAGAATTTTTGCTTCTAACAATACCGGAAAAGCCAACATTTATTCTAGGCCATAGATAAGCATAAGTTTCCAAACAATAAGATTCAATTTTTCGTGGAGGTCTGACTGCATTTGAATATGCAGAGTATTTTATTACACAATCTTCAATCTGATGAGCATCTGCTTCACGTGATACCGCGGCTACATTGGAAGCGGATGGAGATTTAAATCATTTACTGAACGTACTGTATTCGATGGAACAAAGCGTGTATTCAGGCTCCTAATCCAACCAATACCAGTGCGATCTAAATCATATCTATTTACTAAACAGTAAATTCCAGTAAGATAACTTTCACTGAATTGAACAGCGCATTTAATCACCACAACAAGTTTAGGTATATCACCAGGGTTCTAAAATGTACGGTCTGTCAGTAATAAAGATAGGTAACCTATAAACTAACAGATTTCTTCGCAATAAATATAAAGTTCACACACATACTCAGTTGTGGTCGGTTATGAATGATTTTTCCTAGTAAAGTCACAAACTATTTTCTATCTGATATGTTGAGTAGAAATGTTGTATACATACTGAGTATGTAGCTTTTTCGACTAAGGTAAAAAATCTTTCGTGATCCTGGATTCAAATGATAACTTGTACACCAAATAACTTCTTTATGAAAATGGTCCACATTCGAATCCTGATTTGAGCGAAAAGATCTCATGTAGAGTATACTGATACTGATGAAGGGAAACTGAAATTGTAGTTTTAATCTGTGTACACAGAGACCCGTCAAATGCTTCTTTTTAACGTTTATTCAGGATTAGTTGAATAGTGCTTAAAGCACGTGAATTCCGGTTATTGGGTTTGGATTCTAATGCATCTACCTAGGTTTAGACAGCTGGATAGTACTGTAAAACACGACAGTAGGAGTGTATGTTTATAGCAAGAAGTTACAAAGTTTACATAGTAGATATACATAGCCTTCAATCGTCCGTTTGCATCTTCCGATATGTTCTACAATTTGAATTGTCTTTTCGACTGGCCAACACCGTGCTTTCAATATACTGAAACTCGCCACTCTGTCCGACAACTGTTGCAACTCCGACACCACGTTCCGCTACACACTACTAACAAACATCCTTATGAGCGGAGTTCACTACAGTACCAATAGCCATTACGTAGAGTGGCTAGAATATGAATAAATAAACCTGTACATGGTAAATCAGTCGCACTAAAATTCGATTTAAGCATATTCGTACTGACTGACGAACCAGTGGATAATCATATTTTAAGTGGTTAATATTAAGAATTTTAAATTTTACAAAAAACCTTATGAATTCGATAGATTTTAAGTTTTTATATTCACATTTGAATATTCTTCAGTAAGCGCTAAAGCTAATCGGAAACGATAACTGAAATCCTAATAAGAATATAATACAAAGATTTGCATTCCACATAAGATGAATACCATATATATTCAAACGAGCAATTTCTAAATAACTATGTACCCCAAAAGTAAATTAATTAAAAATATGACAACATCAACGTATTTGAACAGCAGTCTGATCTTGTTCGAAAACATAATAATATAAAATTTAGGAAAGAAAATAGCTTTGAAAAGAACCTGAGGAAACATCTCAGACTATCGTCGCTAAATGCCTTGAAGAAATTCATTTGATAGATGATTGTTCACACTATTAACAATACTAACTAATTCTGTACAGAAAGTAATATGAACAAGTTACAGTTTATTTGATAAGTGTGGATTATAATTACAATTATCCTGAATATACATGTTCAAGATGATTATGTAGTAATCGCACTCCCGTTTTCTACACATTCTTTGAATTATCAACTCGATCATCCTCTCCGCATTCAACACGAACAAAGTCTTCAAGGACCATTTCATTCCGTGATAAATGTTCGCCCACACATATAGTTTCATCTAATAGAAAGGGTTGTAGCAGAAGAGATTTTTCTTCTTCCGGATCGGCAGCTGGATTTTCAACAGATTCTAATCCAGGATTTGGATTCATGCCAACAATGTGCTGACAAACTTGTCTCCCCAAACGTGAAGCTCGTTCATACCATGGATCATTGGCAGGCTGACATAAAATAAAAAAAACATAGTGAAAGGGTTAGAAGTGTTAATTATTCAGCATGGTAAGATATATATAATGAAAAGAAACAGCCCATCGTCGTGAAGTTTCGGATGTCAGATAATTCTTTATAAATAATCTACTGAGTTACCAAGTTTTACAATAGGGGATGAAATGATTGATTAATTATTCAAGAAGCTGTATTACCTTTAACGTTATATCAGGTTCTGAGATAACTGCTTAGGTAAACGAAGTCCGTGTTTCTCGCCGAAATTACACATACACCAATCAACATTCAATGGCTTGTGCTGTGTGAGTAATATTTATTATTTATTTATTTGAACACATAAAATTGGTACAAGGGGGCACCAAATATATATGCGCCACACAAAACAATGAGAATTCGAAGAGAAAAAAGAAGGTAAGGAGCGTAAAAAAGAACAATAACGAACAGATCAGTGTAAGATAGTGTAATAATAATAATAATGGTAGAAAAGGAAAGGTACAATCAGAAGAAATCTGAAGGAAGAAACAACAGTTAAGGAAAAAAACAACCGTTTTCTATGAAGAAAGTAAAAGGTTACAGTAGGATCGCCACTGACTTCCATTCTGAACCATATCTGATAACGTCTTTAACCGCTGTGTAGCACCATCTCTAGGACCCCAGCTAGGGAGTCGTGAAGGACCAACAGAAGCCAGCCCTTTGCAGCTTTCTTTCATACCACGACACCATGTCATATTTTAGACGTCAACATAATGATCATATTTATCAAGGAATCATATCAAGTACAATGTTGTTGGTTAGCTTCCTCATATTCTAAAATTAAAAACTAAGACCAAGTTATTGATGTTGCTTAGGATATAAATTCCTGGTTGGATTTTTAAAGAAATGAAATTAATCAACTGCATTTTCGAAAGAACAATAAAGTGCTGATATTTGTATTTAATTTTCTATTGTTGTGGTGAGTTCTGATGAAAAATTAGGTAGTGTCTCCAGAATTGTGTGAATAAAAATCAAAATAATAGACAGCTACATGTAATTTTATCTAGAACTTTGAAATTCATATCCAACATTTTTTAAGAGCTTTGATTCTACACGAAACGAAAATGTCGGAGAACAATAAGAAGCTTTACATATGACACAAAAAGTAGTTAGGATCCTCACTACATAGTTTTCTGATAGATTGTACAGCTTTTGAATTAGAATAAGCCATTCCTTTCCTGGAAATATAAAAATATTTCACACACAAAACGTATCTCTAAATCCGCTTTTGCAAGCGTAAAGTGATATAAGTAATGGGTTCTATCGAAAAATCTGACACTTAAGTTTTTATTAAATGAAAAAAGCTTGTAGTGTTTAGAATTAAGTTAGGATGATGATCATGTAAAAATCAACTAGTTCAGAAAGCATTCCAAAGTATGTAAAATATTAGTTGAAGTTTCATGCTTCAATATGGCTCACGATGATCACAAGCTGAGTCGTAAATAAAAACTAGACTTACTTTGTCATTCAACGGTCTATAGCGAATGATAGCAGCATACTTTCCAAAGCGGACATCTCGTATCCCTTGTAATATACTCTCTGAGCTCGTGTGTGAATAAATAGCCAGACAACTTGTGCTAGTGTTATCAGGGACACAAAGTCCGACAGCTCTTTTTAGTCGAATACTTTCACCAATAGATCCTATGGCTGCAACCGTAATATCTTTCAAGGTAGAGGAGTTGGAGGTTACCAACTTATCCAACTGGTCGGAATCCAAT